CAGCTCCCTGTTGCTTCCATAGAACCTTTTTCTCTACCTCTCCTTGCTCGCTTTTGCAAAGTCTCTCTGTGTCCCAGAAAGAATTTCAGCCTTGGCACTGGATTTTAACGTGATGAAACTATAATCCCTTTTTTTAGAGCTAACAAACATGGCCTTACATAAACAGTTTGTTGAGATAACTTTGACACTGTTAAGTGTCAAAGTTCTTTCATGTTTGTCACTTATGCAAAAGTTCCTAACTTGTAATAGATATTATTTAAAAAAAATAAAAGATGCTATAGACTGTTCCCAAAGCCATGGGATAAAGCCTACTACAAGTGGCTTACTGTTTTGAAGCAGGTGGTTGGGGACTGGTTGCATTTAAAGCTAAGCCTGACTATGCATCAGAATAAGTGATGGTCTTAGAATGCTGCTGTTCTGCATTTTTTTTGTTTCTCTCTGTAAGGTAACATCTGGTTTTAATGGCCTTATGCCTTCTTTTGAGGATGTTATGTGTATTACATCTGACCAGAATTTGATTATTGCTTCTGTTCTATCATAATCTTTCAATGAAAATGCACGCACACACACCACTACCCTGACACAACTGTGATTTTTATTAGAACTCATGAACTAAGCAAGTTTGGATTTGGTCAGTTAGAGACCTCTAATGAAGAAATGGGAACAGACATATATTCATATCTTAGTAATTTTCAGAACAGCTGCTGTTTTAGATCCTTCCTGCATTATTGGTCCTGAGTTTCAACATGTCTTTTTAAATTAAAGTGCTAAACCAAAACCGTACCATAAAAGGTTATTTATACAAAAATATTTTTAGGGATAAAGGAGTGTTAATGGCTGAATCAGGAGTTTTAGAGCCAATTTTTTTCACAGGAAACTTAACTCTGCACTTTTTAAAGCATTTTTAGCCCAACTGGATTTTTAATTAGAAGGCAACAAAATTGTGCTTTAGTGTCATACAAAATGCTGTAAGTGTGGGCAAAACAAAAATTATTGGAATGTGGATGATTTATTTGTAATTTATTACTGAATATCTTGCTTGCCAGTTTTTTATAATACTTTATTGCTTTTTTATCCTGGCATCTCAAATTGCTTTGCAAACATTAATCAACTGAGTTTCACAACACCTCTTGGCTATCTAAGGGAAATCAAAAAATCCCTTACAATTTAAAATATAGGCTTCAAATTTATGGCTACACACACTTCACGTAACAATTTTTAAGATACCTGTACATAGGTTTTCCTCATCTCTAAAGATGAGGATAAATTCATGCTTCACCGGATTGCTGAGCAGCTAAATTAAAGGTTGTAATGTGATTTGAGGTACTGAGATGAGAGACACATAATTGTACTTCACATATCTAGCAACAGTTAATATGATGCTTAGGTCCTTTACCTACCACTGAAATATAATTACATGTAAGATTCCATTGCTGTTTTTAACAATGCAGAGCAATGTTACCCAGAAGTTAAAAATGGGGAATGACAAAAAAATATTGCATCTATTCAAAACTGCAGAGGCAATTTAGGTAGGCTGCATTGTGAGATCATTACAGGATCATAGAAAAGTAGAAGTGAAAGGGACCTCACAAGGTCATCTACTCCAGCTTCCTACTCAAGGCAGGATCATCCCTTGACTAAACAGTCATAGCCAAGTGTCTGTGTAACCTACTTTTGAAAATGTCCAAGGATGGCAGTTCCACACTTTCTCTAGGTAGCCTTTTCCAATGCCTGACCACCCTCATTGTCAGAAAGTTCTTCCTAATCTCCAACTTAAATTTCCCCTGCTGAAGCTTGAGGCCATTGCTCCTAGTCCTATCCTCTGTGGTCACAGAGAAAAGCCCATCTCTATCGTCTCTATATTCACCCTTCAGTCATTTGAAGACCATTATCAAATCCTCCTCCCTCAGTCTTCTCTTCTCCAAGCTAAATAACCCTAGTTCTTTCAGCCTTTCGTCATAAGTCTTGCCTATGAGGCCCTTAATCATTTTTGTTACTGTGCACTGGATTCCTTCCATTCAGTCTGCATCGTTCTTGAAATGTGGGCCCCAAAGGTGGACACAGTACTCCAGGTAATGCCTCACCAGTGCCATAAATAGAGCAGAAGAATCATTTCCTTTGATTTATAAGTATACTCCTGTTAATATAACCCAGTATGCTGTTGACTTTTTTGACAAAAAGAGCACTCTGTTGGCTCATTCAAGTTATGGTCTACTGCAACCCCCAGGTTCTCCTCTGCAGTACAGCAGCCTAGCCAGTAATTCCCCAGTCCGTATTTGTACATGCAATTATTCTATCCCAAATACATGTCTTTGCACTTCTAGCTGATTCTCATCTAATTGACTGTGGACCATTTGTCCAGTCTATGCAGGTCATTCTGGATCTGAGCCTTACCCTCCGGAGTATCTGAAAGTCCATCCAATTTGGTGTCCTTTGCAAATTTGCTACATGTGTACTCAATCCAATTGTCCAAATTATTTCATGTAAATATTGAACAATACCTGACCCAGGACAGACCTCTGACAAACCCCACTTGATACTTCCTCCCAACTAGACATTGAGCCATTGATGACTACTAATTGAGCATGATTATCCAACCAGTTATTTATTCACCTTACAGTATTTTTGTCTAGTCTGCATTTTCTCAGCTTGTTAATGAGAATGTTGTGAGAGACGGGGTCAAAAGCCTTGCTAAAACCAAGATATATCAAATCTGCTGCTCTCCCCCCATCTGTAGAGCCTCTCATCTTATCATAGAAGGCAGTCACATTGGTCAGGCATGCTGATGCATGCTTGCTGTCCCTAATCATCCTCATTCCTTGATGACCTGCTCTGTGATCTTTCCAGGCACTGAGATTAGGCTGACCTCCTTCTCCTTTATTTTAAAGATGGGTACTGTACTTGCCCTTTTCCAGTCATCTGGGACCTCACCTGACCTCCACAAGTTCTCAAAGAAAACAGCCAGTGTCTTTACACATACTTCAGGTGAGATGATGAGCAGGCACACTTTAATTAGAGCCGCTCTAATTAAAGTGCCCACAGCATCTTGTGTATTCAGTTTCCCGCACTTCAAAATGGCATCGGGGGCACTTTAACTAAAGCTCATCAAATGAGCTTTAAAGTGCCCCTG